GCCAATGCTCTAACCGCTGAGCAAAACTGGCCAGGGCTAAACCCTTTGCTTTTGACAAAATTTATGCATGACACTACTGTTGACATCACATTGTTGAGCCACAACAACTGTGCACAGAGACTTTCTTGGTATACAATGCAGTGGCATATAATTAAATCACTTGGATCAAGACTGAAATGATTCAGTTCTTTCTTGACAAATGCAATTAACCTTTTTGGCAATCAAACCGTGGTGAAGCTCCATCTATAGTAAAGCCACTTAACTTTTCAAATGTTAGCTCAAGATTTTTCACTGATAAAACAAGTCTCTCAAACAAGTCCTCATCTCTTGTAGTGCCATGCATGGCTTCCAGTGACAGCAGTTCCTCTCGCTTGTCAAACTCTGCAGTTATCCCACAAATGAAATGGCCAGTAGAACAATATTTGTTATGTCCATTGTCATAAGTCAGAGAAAAAAATTGGAAATATCCTGCAGAATTCTTCAGTGTTTTTTTTTTTTTTTCAATATCTTGTGCTAAATCAGTAATCCTATCTGAGAAGATTTCTGAGACAAACTAACACTCTGAAACAATTTTACTTTGGTGCTAACAACTCCGCAGCAGCCACCATGCACTCTTTCACAAACCCTCCCTCTAGGTGAGGCCTCAGCTTTGCAATTAGCTCCCTCACTACATAACTCGTCTGAGTAACGTTGTCTCTGTGACAACAAGGCCTAGTGAAAGCAGCTTGTTGTGATTCCAAACTCTACTTGATTTCATCCAGACGCATTAGGCCTCCCAATTCATTGAATTTAGCATGTTTTGAATTGTAATGATGCCCCAGATGGGCTTTTTTCATTACTACTAACACATTGCCACAAACTAGGCACACAGATTTGCCTTTGACTTCAACCAAAAAATAATCACTTGTCCATTTCTCTTGGAAAGATTGATATTCTGCATCAACTTTTCTTTTCCTTGTAGTTGCCATTTGTAGGATGTCACACCACTTAAGTTTTTTTTTTTTTAAATCCTCACTCGAGGATATTTTTCTATTTATCTTCAAATAGATTGGGAGGGAGGGAGTGAGAGAGAGAGAAACATTGATGTGAGAGAGACACATCAACTGGTTGCCTCCCGCATGACCCCGACCAGGGCTGGGGATGAACTGCAACCAAGGTAACTGCCCTTGACCTGAAGTGAACCCAAGACTCATATTGGTCCTTGGGCCGATGCTCTAACCGCTGAACCAAACCAGCCAGAGTACACCACTTAAGTTTTAATAACTAACCAGTGTGTGCGTTGCCAGTGACACAATTATTTTGCTTTGATCGTTCTTCTAATCCTGCATCTTGGATTTGGAACATATCCTGTGTTTATATCATTGACTCTTGAGGTCTTTTCTGTGTACTGTAATTTCCTTAATCTTCATCTAAGATTCAGTTTTTGCAAAGATTGTTGACCGTGGACGTGTGGATGAAGGTGCCCTTAGCGGAAACTGAACCCGGGTCTCTCCGGACTGCAGGTTAACGCTCTAACCGCTGAGCCAAACTGGCCAGGGCTTTGGTGTTTTTTTTTTTTTGCTTATTTCCTTCACCTCTCTCACCCAGCCCTCCAACCCCCTTCCCTCTGACAGCTGCCAGTCTGTTCTTTGTATCTATGAGTCTGTTTCTATTTTATTTGTTAATTTTGTTTATTAGATTCTACACACAAGTGAAATCATATGATAGGTGTCTTTCTCTGACTAGCTTATTTCCCTTAGCATAATACTCCCTAGGTCCATCCATGCTGTTGCAAAAGGTAAGAGTTCCTTTTTTATGGCCAAGTAATATTCCATAGTGTAAAGGTACAACAGCATTTTTATCCATTCATCTACTAATGGCCACTTGGGCTGCTCCCAAATCTCGGTTATTATAAATAACTCTGCAATAAACATAGGGGTGCATATATCCTTTCGAATTAGTGTTTCAGGTTTCTTTGGATATAGTCCCAAAAGTGGAATCACTGGGTCATAATGAAGTCCTATTTTTAATTTTTTGAGGAAATTCCATATTGTTTTCCACAGTGGCTGCACCAATCTGCATTCCCACCAACAGTGCACAAAGGTTCCCTTTTCTCCATATCCTCTCTAGCACTTGTTGTTTGTTGATTTATTGATGATAGCCCATTCTGACAGGTGCGAGGTGATATTTCATTGTGGTTTTAATTTGCATTTCTCTGAAGATTAGTAATGTTGAGCATCTTTTCATATGTCTATTGGCTATCTGTATGTCCTCTTTGGAGAAGTGTCTATTCAGGCCCTTTGCCCATTTTTCAGTTGAATTGTTTGTCTTTTTGGAGTTGAGTTCTTTATAAATTTTGGATATTAACCTATCAGATGTATCATTGGTGAATATTTTTTTTCCCATTCATTGAGTTGTCTTTTCATTTTGCTGATGGTTTCACTGTGCAAAAACTTTTTAGTTTAATGTAATACCATTTATTTATTTTTGTTTCCCTTGCCTGAGGAAATATATCAGAAAAAAATATAGCTATGAGAAATGTCCAAGATTTTATTGCCTATATTTTCTTTTTTTTTTTTTTTAGATTTTTTTTTTTTTATCCTCACCCGAGGATATTTTTTTTCCATTTTTTGTATAGATAGAGTGGGAGGGAGAGAGAGGAAGGGAGAGAGAGAGAGAAACATCGACGTGAAGGGACACATCGAGTGGCTGCCACCCGCACGACCAACCAGGGCCGGGGACAAATTGCAACCGAGGTACGCGCCCTTAGCGGGAACCGAACCCGGGACTCTCCGGACCGCAGGCCGACGCTCTAACCGCTGAGCCAAACTGGCCAGGGCATATTGCCTATATTTTCTTTAAACATTATTTATTTAGCTCTGGCCAGTTTGGCTCAGCGGTTAGAGTGTTGGCCTGCGGTCCAGAGAGACCTGGGTTCGGTTCCCGCTAAGGGCGCATACCTCGGTTGCAGTTTGTCCCCGGCCCTGGTTGGTTGTGCGGGTGGCAGCCACTCGATGTGTCCCTTTCATGTCGATGTTTCTCTCTCTCTCTCTCTCCCTCTCTCTCCCTCCCACTCTGTCTGAACAAAAAAATGGGAAAGTGTCCTCGGGTGAGGATAAAAAAAAATTATTTATTTATTGATTGATTATTTAGAGAGAGAAGGGAAGGGAAAAAGAAACACTGCTTTGTTGTTCCACTTATTTATGCATTCATTGATTGATTCTTGTATGTGCCCTGACCAGGGATCCAACCTGAAACCTTGGTGTATCAGGAGAACTCTCTAACCAATTGACCTACCCATCTAGGGTTGTGTATGTTTTCTTCTAGGATTTTTATGGTTTTGAGTCAACATTTAAATTTTTAATCCATTTTGAGTTTATTCTTGTGTATGATGTAAGAAGGTGGTCTATTTTCATTTTTTGCACGTATTTGTCTAATTTTCCCAACACCATTTATTGAATATAGTCTTTTACCCCACTGTATATTCTTGCCTCCTTTGTCATAGATTAATTGACCATAAAGGTGTGGGTTTATTTCTGAGCTCTATAGTCTGTTGCATTGATGATCTATGTCTGTTTTTATGCCAGTATCGTGCTATTTTGATTATTATGGCCTTGTAGTATAGTTTGATAGCAGGTAGCGTGATTCCTCCAACTTTGTTCTTCTTTCTCAAAACTGCTGAGGCTATTTGGGGGTCTTTTGTGGTTACATATAAATTTTTGGAATATTAGTTTTAGTTCTGTGACATATGCCATTGATATCTTTATAGGAATTGCGTTGAATCTATAGATTTCTTTGGGTAGTATAGACATTTTAATGATGTTAATTGAACACGATATATGTTTCCACTTATTTGTATCTTCTTCAATTTATTTCTTCAGTGTCTTATAATTTTTCCAGTGCAGGGGTCCTTTACAGTCTTGGTTAAATTTATTCCTAGGTATTTTTATTTTTTTAATGCATTTGTAAGTGGGATTGTCTTCTTAGTTTCCCTTTCTGAACAGTTCACTATGGGTGTATAAAAATGCAACTGATATCTGGATATTTACTTCGCATCTTGTTACTTTTCTGAATTCATTTATCAGTTCTAGTAGTTTTTTGGTGGAATCTTTAGGGTTCTCTATATACAGAATCATGATATCTGCTGTAAACACCTTTTAAAACTTACATGAGTGTTTATAAAAAACGTGGATGAGTGTGGAGCTGTATACTTAAAATTAGTTCACTCTGCACTTGATGTTATATAGCAATTAAAATGTTTTAAAAGAAGGCTTCAAGTTCTGTCTGGTGGTCACAAGGTGCATATACAAATGAAAAAATATTCATCCACTGAAAGTTTCTGCAATCTGCTGTATATTATACCTCATAAAGAAGAACAGAGAAACTGAAGCTCGATGCTGGCTCTGTGGAGGACCAGCGGGCAAAGCCGCCGGCAAAGCCCGCCAGCGATGGGTCACTGACGGCCTCCGGGACAGGCCTCAGGGGCGGGCGCCTGCAGGGGGCGCTCGAGCCTGGGGGGGCTAAGATGCTGCACAAAGACTCACTGCTCCCGGGAGCCAAGGCCTTCCGGCCCACGGGGGAAGGTTGTGGGCGTCCCCACGTCTCCCGCGCCACAGCAGGTTGGGAAATCGCCAGCTCAGGCCACCCCACCACTCCTGTCCTCGCAGGCCGTAACTGACGTCACTGCCCCGCCTCCCGGCCTCGCGCCGCCGTTCCTGCCCCGCCCTTTTTCCCGGCGTGCGCCGCGGTGAGGTCCCTCGCCCTCGGCTTTTGCCTGTCGCCCCAAGATGGCGGACACAATGAGCCGGTGCCGCGCTGATTGCCCCTGAACCTACTGTGAGGAGGAACGGTCGGCGAGGCCTCTCAGTCCGGGCAGAAGAGCGCTGCACTAGCAGGAGGAGGGAGAGGTGTCGGCCGCTCTCCCGCTCGCCGTCGGCGCGGCGCCCGCCACGCCTGGGTCGGCCCCTCGGCAGCCCGCCCGCTCGCTCGCCTGCCCGCTTGCCGCGGGGCCCCGCCCCGGCCCTACGCCGCCGCTGCCGCCTCCCGCAGCCGCCGCCATGAAGCTGACCGACGGCGTGCTGCGGAGCTTCCGCGTCGCCAAAGTGTTTCGTGAGAACTCGGACAAGATTAACTGCTTCGACTTCAGCCCTAACGGCGAGACGGTCATCTCAAGCAGCGACGACGACTCCATCGTGCTCTATGATTGCCAGGAGGGCAAGTGAGTGCGGCGGAGGCCCGGCCGGGTCTGAGTCCCTCCCTCCCTCCCGTGGTTCGCCCTGCGGCCGCTGCCCGCTCCCGCTCCGACTCCGGCGCCCGGCCTGTTTTGCACTCGCTCCTGCCAGGGCCGCTTCCACTCCGAAGCCATCCAGGAGACCTTTTCTTTTTCTTTTTTTTAAAGTAGGGATAGTAACGATAGTATCACGTTGTATGCCTTCGGTCTCTTCAGAGAGCGCTTCTGCATCTCTGGCCAAACCACACCTTGACCTTGACCTTTAAGCGCCGAGCCCGCCTGCCCAGCTGGTAGCTTTCCCGCTCCCTGTGCCCTTATCAAGGTGCCCGGAGGCTCTCCGCAGCGCGGAGCCGCCGCGGCTGCTGTCCTGCTCGTCCGGCAGCTCGTGCCCTCTCCTGGGTGACCTCGATTCAGCCCTGGCACTCCGCCCATTCCTGTCCCCCAGCGTTTACGCGGCCTTTCTGCTGGAAGGCCGCGTGGGGTGCAGTTCTTGGTGAGCAGGAATTATTTTTTGTGCTTCCTTTCCTTCCCGTTCCAAATCATGCTCTTACTCCTTCACACCCGATGCCCTGGCTTCGAAGTGAACTTTTTAGCAACATCTGAAACTTTTCCCTTTTGGCAGACATAAACGAACTTGGCTGTCCCATCCCAATCTGAAGGTGAACCTCCCATTAGAACAAAGAAAGCATCGTATAACCATTTCATGTTTCCTCTTATGCTTAAAAAAAATTGCACTTTATGGTCCACTTGGAATTGTCAAAATCCCGAGTCTACTCTGATCGTGAAATTTATACATTGCCCCCAAGTCCTCTGGAAACCCACCACACCTGCTTTGTAAGCTCAGCATCTTTTGCCTTTTTTTCTGGGGACCTTTTCAACTTCACCTCACCTCTGTAGACTTGTTTTCTTTAAGTACTTGCTAAACTGTGAGATTCTTTGGAGCAAAAATTGGTTTAGGCTAAATTTTATTTCCCATCAGCCACCTTCCCCAAGCAGGCTTGCAGATGTTTGGTTTTGTCAGACTTCATTTTGTTGGCCTAGTTCCAGATCTTATTTTTTGAATCTTTGGTTTTTTGTCTATCTTCTCTAGCTGTTTCTGTTGCCTTAAAACAAAACAAAACAAAAACTGATGTCTTCTGTAAATTTCTTTTGGAACTTGTCCCTTCGTTTGAGTTTAGTTATCTAAAGTAATTCTGTTTTGGTCTGAGCCATAATGTTCTCCCCACTTTTTCCCCACTGGGGCTATGAGAGAGTATTATGTAAGTGGCTCTGGATCTGTCTGCTCTACATGGAAGGGTTGTTGCCTGTAGTGGTGGTCCTGGGGGAAGAGAATTTGTTAGCTGGACTGATACTGAGTTATTTGGGATAATTGAATTCATTTAGTATATGGATTTCTGTCCACATCTGGCCACTTGCATCAACTTGGAAGCTAGAGTAACATGTAAAGCTGGGGTGGGGGTCGGTTGTGGGGTTCTGGAGCTACAAGTAATTTGAAGCTGGCTTACTGGAAATGTTCAGTGCTTGTGCACGGATTAGAACCTCTCCCTGGAACCCAAGGATGGAGATGTATATCCTTATTCAAAGGAAATAAAGGTTGTGATAGTATTTCTTCATAGTTTGTCTTGTAATTTCCACTTGTTGGGAGGGATGACAGTGACTTGAAGCCCTGTTTCAATAAAAGTAAAATGTTAATTTTATGACATACCATAGTTGATTCACTCATGTAGCATTTTTACATAATTACAAACATAGAAAAGTCACAGCATGTTCCAAAGAACTCCTATGTGATCCAATAGTTGGTTACATTTTGCCCCATTCGCTTTATTTTCTGTGTACGTATTTATACATATGCATTTTTTCCCTTAGAAGTTGGAAGTATCATGCCCCTTTATCCCTAAACACAGATCCCTACAACTTGGTTTTCTTAAGCATAAGGACATTCTCTTATATAACTGTAGCACAGTTATCCAAATTAGTGTAGGGCATGCTTTTTAAAACTTTATCTTATCAAATAATTGTGGTCTTGTTTCATTGTGATCAGTGGCAGGAGAGTGGTCTGGTAGTTAGGAAACCTGGGTTCTAGTTTGGCCTTGTGACTTTGGTCAGACTGCTTCTCTGGATATTAGATGACCTCTTTAACCTCTGGGAGTACGGGATCCTAAGTGGTAACGTGAAGGAAAAATTTGCCCCCAATGTGGATCAGAGCAACATTGGAAGAAAAATAGTTTCCTTGTAAGACATAGTTTCTTGTTAGATGATACTAATGTTAGAATTTGGGAGTTTAAAAATGGCTAAAACAATGTACTTTATGCTTAATGTTTTTTAGTTTACTGTTCATTTAAACTTTCTTTATAATGGAGTTCATCTATTGAGTGCTTTTTTTTTTCAACTTGAGAGAATATGAAGGATATTATCTGTGGTACATGTTGCAAATTCAAGGAGAAGACTTTAATATTATTTATTCATACTTGATCGCCAGAATCATAGTTGGTGGAGAGAAGCTTAAAAATATTTGAAAAAATGTTCCTGGCCTTTGTAAAGATCCTCTGAAAGGAATGTAACACAGTATCTTCCTTTCAAACTAGGAAATGATATGTGGTAAAAGATTTCTGTTATTAACAACAAATCTCAGGTTTGTGTTATTGATACATTTGAGGCAGATAGGCTATATATAAGTGGAACTGAAAAATTTTCTAACACCACACACACTTTAACATTGGCTCTTTAGGTTCTGTTATTGTAGATAGACTGAAATACTGGCATAAATAAACTTCCACTGATAGAGGCAAAGTCGACTGTCTTTTGAGAGCAAGCACGTGTGTGTACATGCTCATACTCCCTTGCTCACTCACTCACTCACTGGTTACCACCATACAGTAAGTAACCCCAGGGCACAATCCTGGATGGTGAGCGCAACTAGGTAGCTCCTCAGCTGATCTTTTTAGCTGATCTTTCAGTAATGGTAAGAATGTGAAAAATTCAGTGCATTTGGAGTGAGAAGTCTTGTTTGGAGATAATGTTTTATGTAGGGAAACCCTTAACCTCACTGACGTTAACAAATATTAAAAGTGCAAATGTATGTCATCTGATTGTTTGCATCTATGTGCCACGATAATTTTGCATTGATGACAAGGTGAACTTTTTCATAAATTGGAACTCTCAGTAAACACTGGTACAGGATTTATGAAATCCTCCTTCACCTAAATGTAGAACGTTATGAAAATGAAGTTTCTGGTTATTGACTTTGCTGAGTTCGGATTCCACTTGATCTCCAAGCTTCTATAGAGGAAGATATTTAAGGAACTTTGGCAAATGGATTGGTATCCTCTAGCTTGGATATATGATTTTACATTAAAAGTAAAAAGAAAACAACCAATGACTAGTTTTACTAGGGAGAGTTAGGCTTGCCTTCCCAAAAGCTCAGTATAAGTGCTTTGGACCTGTAGGATAGGGAGAATGGATACAACAACAGGTTATGTTAGGAAGGGTAAACCAGTAAGTTCTGGCCTCACTGGTTTGATGTATTTCCATATCCCTCTTTGTTATCAGGATGACTTGTGTTCTGTGTGTCTTTCTTCCCAGATGTACTTTTTCTCAAAGCTAACTTTTGAACATTGTAGTAAAGACTGAATTGAACCCTCAGATTTACTTCCACTTCCTAACTTGGCATTTGGTGTTCAGAGGTGAAAGGCTGTTGCACTTGATGGGTTCCATTTGTTTCTTCCCTTTTGGAAGGAATTCTGTTTCTTTCCAGTGATAGAGCTTACCAAGAATACTCACCCTTGCCACATCATTCAAGTGCTTTTCTTTTTTTGAAGATCCCAGATTTTGGTGATGTAGGATTTTGATGGTTTTCTTTCTCTGTCCATTTCCTTATCAGACCAAAGAGAACCCTGTACAGTAAGAAATATGGCGTGGACCTCATCAGATACACTCATGCAGCAAACACAGTCGTTTACAGCTCTAACAAAATAGACGGTAAGCAAGCCTTCTTTTTAGGAGTTAATGGTCATAGTTTCCTTTGTCAAATAGTTCACGGAATCTTTGTGACTACTTCTGTTTTGGTTATAGTTACTTTAATTTAAATATTTTCCTATGATGTTAGCAATGCTAACATTGTTATGACTGAAAAGATGCTGGAGGCAAGCCACTAGTGTTTTTGAAGGACTTGAAACTGAGTGTGAAAGGTCTTTAGAGTGAAAAGTGTAAATAGGAGGCAACAAATGGTATTTATGGTTTGTACTCATTGAAACTGAAAAGAATACTTTTAGAACAAATACACGGAAAGAATACTTGACACATAGCAAGTGGTAAACAATAGTACCTCCCGTTCAAAATACAGAGATTTGAGAAAAGTTTTCACAAATGTTTGAGTTATGATAGTTTAGGGGATCTCAGAACTGAGTTTTTGGTGTATGCCCAGACTTTTATGATCTGTGTCATAAAGGACTGTGTGTTGACCTTGGTTATCTTTGATTTGTGGGCATTTTTTGATCTGAATTTTATCCTTTTTACTTTTAAATAAAGCTAATGTCTTTAAAGAGTAAAAGAGTTATTTTTAGAAATTAAACTTGTGAATTTCTTTCTCTAATAAATGGTCTCTGTTTTTACCTGCATTTTACCTGGATAAGTCATTCTCAGTGGACAGGATGACCTTGGTAATTGAACAGTAACACTTAATTTCATGTTAGGAGTCCTTTTTTAAAACAATTAACTTATCTCACTGATTTATTGATTATTTCACTTTTTGCAGTAAGATTTTTCTAATATCATTCAACATTGCTTATACTGTTGTTTTGGCTATGCCTGTTTCAGAGCTAATGGGCAGAAGTGGTTTTTTTAAAAAACTTTTTATGAGATTTTTCTGCCTGTACTTGACTTTAGTAAGTATATTATTTCTACTTTTTATACCTGTAGTTCAGAATTGGTTTTCTAAGTAAGCATACATTTGCTGCTTTTGGACAAGAATATATAAAACATTAGGATGCTGAGGAAACATATCTATGTGATCATCTGCATGACTGGTATATTTCTTCTGTTGGGGTGTTTTTCTGGGTGATTAAATAAGAATTGTCCAAACATGGTTCAAGATGAGGCAAATGTGTGGCACTTGCAGCTTTGCTGCCAGGCCTCTGCTGTGAGGATTTTGCCTTTCCTGTCTCGAGTGCATCCTGAAGAGTTCCTCCAACGCTTCGTTTTCCTTTTGCCTGATTCCAGGCTGAGGTAGTAGTTTGTACAGTTTGAGGGTCTATGATACCACCCGGTACAGGAGATAACTGTACAGGCCACTGCCTTGCCAGGAACAGCGCGCCAGCTACCTAGTGGGGCGGAGAGGATGGCGACGCCCTGCTCATCTCTGGGAATCCAGGTAATGGGAAGGAAACCTTTTTCTGCTTAGGGAAGGTGAGTAGCTCCTTACCAGAACAACCAAGAAGATTTAGTAGTTGTTATTCGAGAACTTTGAAGATGTAGTTAAGAAAAACCGTGTAGAGTTCAGTTTTGGCACATACAAAGAGTACCCTTTATCCTCTCCGTGGTTAAATACCCTCTTATAAGAAAGTATCCTTGTGAACCACTGAGATGACTTGGTGTTTTTAGTGTCTTTGTTCCTGTGTTCTGTTTTCCTCCAGAATGTTCTTTCTATGCTTTCCTTTCTGCATTTTGGCATCATTTCCTATTATCCCTTTCTCAACAATTGTTCCTTATTCATAGTCTTTTTAGGGTCATAGTACTTTTCAGTTCTAATCTTTATGGCACTATTTCCTTCCCACCATCTTTTTTGTTTATTTTTCAGATAGACTCATTTGCTTTTTAAGAGTGTCATATTTTATCCAAGCACAAATCTCTACGATTATTCCTTTCTTTGATGTTGTCAAAATCTCACTGTTCTGACTTGTTGGTATAGTTCATGAGTTTTATTTTGAAATGTCTTGAGATCTTTTAAACCCAAATTTTCTCACTTTTTTTGGCCACTTTATTATTTTAAACTAATTTCTCTGAGCACAAGGGACCAGTGGATAGTTGGTTAATTAGAAAAGAAGTAGTAGAACTTTACTTCTCTTTCCATTTTGTTTAGTTTTAATGTAAATTGTATATCCAGTTAACATTCAGGTGAGGTCATTGCTCTATAGTCTGTCAATTTAACAATTCTGCTTTTGAATTATGTCAGATCTGTAGTGTCCTCTTCTCAGCTGTGGAAAGGAATTATTCACTATTTATTTACACCTTGCTTGGTTTATGGACAACAATTAATTCTTTGACCTTGCCTTTTCAAGATGAAAATGCGAAGTAAGTTTTAAAAAAAATAATAGGATATCATCATGCCTTATTTGTCTTCTTACAGATACTATTCGTTACCTGTCCTTGCATGACAACAAATACATCAGATACTTTCCTGGACATAGCAAAAGGTAAGACCCAAGTATTACAGGAGTAGATAGTTTTTTTTTATCCCTGAGGTTCCAGATAATAGAAGAATGGAGAGATTTTATCAGAGCACTAAAATCACTGCTATTTGGCATTCCTCTTAGTCTTCTTTTGTTAACCCCTATCCAGTCAACTTGATTAACTGAGGTGGTGGAGGCAGGGGTAGGACTTCATACATAAACTGAAGTCACAGTTAAAACATAATTAGGAAGAAAGGTAGATTAAAGATATTCAGTGGAAACTTACGTAGTAAAAAATAGGTAGCATAGAGGAACCCCAAATATCAGATGTCCCTTAATGAAAGGGTCTTGTACATATATGAGGCCTTCCAGTATAGTTCGCCCCATTTTAGCACCCTCCTGCTCTACACAGACATATTCTATATGAGGATCTTTAATGAGGATGCAAAAAAATTAATAATTGTCCTTTGTTACTAGTGAAAGTCAAGAAGCTTCTTTTCTTATTCTATTTGGTAATGTAGGTTGCCTCTCTCTGTCTCCTACCCCAATTTCCCCAGTATTTTTTGTCTAGTTTTTTGAGGTTTGGTTGAATGTTAAATACATTTTCCCTTGGATGATATTTTAATCATCAGGAGGGGGTTATTTCTTCCTGCTTTCATTTGCAAATGTATGGAAACCAAGTAAGGCTTGGAGTGGTAGAATACCCTGACAGGAGGTGGACCAAGAGCCAGGCTGCGCTCTGATTGGGCAGGGCTTTTTATGTTGGTGAAGGTAAGAGGTTGCAGCTTTTGGTTACTGTAGTTCCAGACAAAGAGTGGCTTGTGACAAGTAGATATTTTTGCTTGTTTGTAATTAAATTAATGTTCACAAATTTACAGTCTATAAGAGTTTTGATTGTAGTTGTTCAAAATTCTTTCCAGTCTTTTCAGTTATCTAACCTCTTGACCTCCTGAGTCTTAGTAGCTGACTTTGTCCCTTTTTTCTGTGTGTGTGACAAAATCAAGGTCATCCAAAATGAGTTATTTTTCTTTTTAATATTTTTTCTTTATTGATTTTAGAGAGACAGGAAGGGAGAGGGAGAGAGAGACAGAACTGTCGATGAGAGAGAACATCGATTAGCCGCCTCCTGCATGCCCCCCACTGGGGATTTGGCCCACAACCTGACATGTGCCCTGACAGGGAATCGAACTGGCAACCTCTTGGTGCATGGGTCGAATGCTCAACCAGTGAGCCACACTGGCTGGACCAAAATGAGTTCTTTTAAAATTCTACCTCTTTCACTTAAATTCCGCTCTTCCTCGGAACTCTTTCCTTAAGATAGGAGTAGCCTTTCTTCCTTGACAAAACCAACTTCTCTGATTGCTTTCATCTGTTTAACTGGACTTTTCCTTGCTGTATACAAACTAGCTTGATCTCTTATCTTAAATCTATTTCTGGAGTCTATCACCCACTCCTTTTCACTGTCAAACATGAATAATCTGCATATTCCCATTTCCACCTCCTCATAATTCGATATTTAAATCACCCTCAGTCCAGTCCTGGAGTCACCTATGGGGCTTTTTCCAAGTGTTTTACTTTTCTTTTCCTGCTGCCTCCAGTTAAAATCCATTACCTTGGGCTTTTTGGGGGGGGGGGGGGGGGGATGCTCAACCTCTCAGCAAAACATTTTTTCCCCTTTTGGCAGCTGACTTTTCCATCTTGGTTCTGTTCTTGCTATTACTGGCTTCTCTTTCTCCTTTTGACTCTAAAATAAACAAGGTTCTATCCTAGCCTTTTCCCCTTGTTGGTATTTTTTTCATGTATCTCCACATTTTTTATTCATCTCTACTCAGCTGGCTTCCCAGATCAGTATTTTTAGCCCATGTCTGTCATGATTGCTAGACTCAACTTCCACCTACAGGTTTTATATACATCTATGCAGATGTTTCTTCCATGCCTCCACCTGACAGGTCCAGCACTCCATCCATCATTGTCTTATTCCTTGGCCATCTCCTCTCTACCTCATGTTTCTTCATCTCTGTTCCTGTCAATTCTCTGGACTCAAAGACTCTGTTGTCTCTTTACGCCCTTTGTATTGCCTTCACATCCAGTGAGATGTTAAATACTATTGATTCTACCTAGCTTTAACCTGTGTCACTCTCCTCTCTACTCTCTCCTTTGCTTCTGTGCTGGCTTATGCCCTGTCTGGTGAATTATTGTCAAATCCTAATTAACTTCCCCATCCTTCACCATCCTGCTTCAGCACTCTGTATTACATTTCTGACCACTTCACATCCTCCCTTAGGAAGCCTTAAAGGTTCTCTACATCTACCTGCTCCTTTCCCTTGGAGTCAGGTTCTCCTCCCTCTGGCTCTGACCCTTTTCCCAACATTATCTCCCAGTGGTGGTGAACTGAACTTGTGCATTCCTATCTTGCGCCTTCTGGAAAGGCATCTCCCATTGACACCATGTTTACCATAGGTGCTGCTTTTCCTGACCGTCACTTTCTTAGAGTTGTCGGGGCTAGATAATTAAGCTTCCATAGAATTGAGGTATTATTCCTTTTTGTATTCCTTTTACCTCTCAGCGTAGAGTCTTGTGCCAAGATAAACTTCCTCTGAGCTATGGACTTGAATGCCATGGCATAAAATTACATGTCTATATGCGTTTTACTTTTGGCTTACAGTATCTTATTTTTAAGTTGGGGAGCTAGTGTAAATGTTAGTTGAGTTATATAGGAAGAATTTTTTTTTTGTTTGTTTGTTTTTTATCCTCACCCGAGGACATTTTTTGATATTTTGTTCAGATAGAGTGAGAAGGAGAGAGAGAGAGAGAAACATCGACGTGAAAGCGACACATTGAGTGGTTGCCACCCACACGACCCAACCAGGGCTGGGGACAAACTGCAACCAAGGTACGTGCCCTTAGCGGGAACCGAACCCGGGTCTCCGGACCGCAGGCCGATGCTCTAACTGCTGAGCAAAACCGGCCAGGGCGGAAGAATTTTTTTTTTTGAAAGGAACTTTTTAACTTAAAAAAATTTAAAACTAAAATTTCTCATTTTCTATTCACAATATACATTTTAAATCATTCTGGTGGAACTAAAACCTCCTGAACCCCTTTCAGTATCATTCAAAACTTGAACTTCCTCTATTTCTAGAACTTCCTCTATTAAAAAATCCATTCACAAATGAGCTGTGCAATTCAGTCACCTTTTTTACTTCAAGCTTTTCTTTGTTAAAATGAAACAGTACAACATGCACATTTCCTCTTACTCTTTTAAAATAATTAATTAGTTAATTAATTTTTAGAGAGAATGGGGGAGGGGTAGAGAGAAACATCAGTTTGTTATTCCACTCATCCATGCATTTGTTGGTTGATTCCTGTATGTGCTCTGACTGGAGAGTGAACCTTGCAACCTTGGCGGATCAGGATGATGCTCTAACCAACTGAGCTACCTGGCCAGGGCTCCTTTATAATTTTGACCTGTGATACCAGCTGATGTATCTATGAAGTGTTTTGCAGCCAGGCCAGAATGTGGAACTACTTATCCATAACACGCAGAGGGAAGAGCCATCTGAATGTGTTTTCACAGGCTTTTTTTCTCCATAGGTGTGTTACTGTAGAGTCACAGGCACTGTACAAGTCATAGCTTGTGCCTCAAGAACCCCATGGTTGAGGCCATGGTGTACTCTGAGAGGCAGGTAAAGTGGAGTTACATGTGGTCCTTCTCTGCGGGCCAGGCCCAAATGTTGGGGAGATGGAGGGTGTCTTTAGAGCAAGGCATGGCAGAGCAAGAACACTCAGGGTGAGCCCTTGGAAGAAGTGTTTTTCAGTGGGTGATTCTTAATGGTATAACCATAAAAAGGGACCTATATCTGAAATACAGTTGCTCTGAGCACAGGCCTGTGGCTCTGTTAAGTGTAATGCCCAAACTAGCAGTCTCACCATCACCTAGGAGCTTGTTAGAAACAGATTCTCAGACCTCACCCAGACCTATTGGATTAGTTCTGGGAATAGATCCCAACAATCTCTGTTTTAGCCCACCCTCCAGGTGATGCTGATGCCACTCAGGTTTAGAATATTAGTATAGTCCACAAATCACTAGTTAAAGGATGATGCTTTAAAAACAAAACAAAACAAAACAAAACACAACAACTGAGATACAGATCAGTACCATAAATTCACCCTTTTAAAGTAAACAGTTCAGTGGTTTTTAGTATATGTACAAAGTTGGGCAACCATCACCACTATCTAATTCCAGAACATTTTCATCACTCCAAAGAGAAACCTCGTACCTATTACCAATCACTTCCTGGTTCCTGGTAGCCACTAATCTACTTCTGTCTCCAAAGCTTTGCCTCTTTTAGACATTTTGTATAAATGAAATCAGATGATATGTGGCCTTTTGTGTTTGTCACTTATCATGTTTCCAAGGTTCATACATATTGTAACATGAATAATCAGTACTTCATTTTTTAATGCTAAATAATATTCTATTGTATGGGGACACACACACACATACACACAGACATTTGGGTTTCCAATTTTTGATTATTATGAATAATGCTACTGTGAGCATACGTGTACTTTATTTTTTTAAATCCTTACCTGAGGATATTTTTTCCATTGATTTCCAGATAGGGTGGGAGGGAGGGAGGGAGGGAAAGAAATAGAGGAAGAAAAACATCGATGTGAAAGAGACGCATTGATTGACTGCCTTCTGCATGACTCCCACCAGGGCTGGGGATCGAACCGCAGCCAAGGTATGTGCCCTTGACCGGAATCGAACCTGCAACTCTTTGGTCCACAGGCCAATGCTCTAACCGCTAAGCCAAACTGGCCAGGACCATATGTGTACTTTTTTGTGTGGAATGTACATTTTTATTTTGGGTTATAGTAAACTCTAATTTTTTGAGGAACTATAAAACTTTTCTAAAGGAACTGTATCATTTTGCATTCCCACCAGCAGTGTATGAATATTCCAACTTCTCCACATCCTAACCAACACTTGTTATCTCTCTTAGATGATAGCTATGCTTGCGGTTGTGAAGTGGTATCTCATTGTGGTTTGATTTTTATGCTATAGCTTTAAGTTGCTTTTTTCATTATACTAGGTACCTTTGATTATCCAGATTGCTTGTGTAGTGTGTTCCTTAAAATGGCAGTTTGGGGAGAATAGGTCTATCCAGGTATGCCAGTAGAATGGTTTAGAGTTCACATCCAATTTTTGTAAATATTTTGCTTCAACTCCTATTTATCTCGATGCATTTCAGGGTGGTGGCCTTGTCCATGTCACCTGTGGATGACACTTTCATTTCTGGGTCTCTTGATAAGACCATTCGACTCTGGGATCTCCGGTCTCCTAACTGCCAGGTAATGGTACCTCACAGTTATACTTTGAGTGTTTTCTATGATAGGCACTATCATCAGCTCTTCCTCTTAAGGAAGGTGGAAAGCAGTGGTTCCATTCTGGGATCCCAGAGTCTTTTTAAACTTTGGAGAAAATCTGATTTCCTGGTAGGTAGCTGGTAATTAAACAAATGCCCTAATCCAGTGCATATTGCATTATGCTCTGTGACTTACTGCTTTAAAGACAGTTTTCCTAGAGCCTTTTAGCCTCAAGAAATTATTTATTTAGAATCAGTGTCTATAAAATTGTACAGTCAGGGTTGATCTGAAATCATTTGTATGGAGACCTGTTTTTTAATTTTTTTATAAAAGCCTTATTTTAGTTTTACTTTTTCTGTTCTGTAGGTAGGTGGGTATCTATTTGTGTCCCTTTCTTAGTTTTCTATGGGAAAAGTAAATTTTATACTGGTAGGATCCTGGGTTCATTAACTTTTTTTCTTGTGTCTTTTTTCTTAGGGCCTCATGCATCTACAGGGCAAGCCAGTATGTTCTTTTGATCCAGAGGGGTTAATTTTTGCTGCAGGTGTCAATTCTGAAATGGTCAAACTTTATGACCTTCGCTCTTTTGATAAGGTAAGTCTTTGAATCTTTTTTCTTTTTTTGTTAAAGATTTTTATTGATTTTTAGAGAGGAAGGGAGAGGGAGAGAGAGAAAAAAACATTAATGTGAAAGTGAGACATCGATGGGCTGCTTTCTGCTTGCCTCACACTGGGGACTGAGCTTGCCAACCCAGCATGTGCCCTGACCAGGGATCGAACTGGCAATGTTTTGGTGTACGGGACAATGCCCAGCCAACTGAGCCACACCAGCAAGGGCTAATCTTTGAGTCTTTAAGCTATCTTGATATTGTGGAAGTTTAGAAGGGTGAGATGGACATTTAAGAACCATTTCTATGGAAGAAGAGGTATGTGGTAGATACTGGAGAGTTTCATAGCAGTAGTTCATCCTTTGCTTTCCCTAGTCAAAAAGGAGTCCAAAGGGATAGAATAAGAGTTGGCTCTGGCAGAAGGAATTATTGATGTCCCTTGGGCCTGGGGCTGCTACTTTTATCTTTTGCAGGGGCCCTTTGCAACATTTAAGATGCAGTATGATCGGACTTGTGAGTGGACAGGACTTAAGTTCAGCAATGATGGCAAACTCATCCTCATCTCCACCAATGGCAGCTTCATTCGTCTCATCGATGCATTCAAGGGAGTAGTGATGCACACGTTTGGGGTGAGCAGACAACCTTTGAACATGGCTGTTTCCATGTCCATGTCTCCTGGGCTGAGAGTTGTGTTAGCTGGTTAGTGGAGATGAGCCTTTATCCTTGACTCACTGATTGAGACATAGGCTTGCATTTTGTTCCTGCACATGAACTTATTTCTGTTGGATTCTAAGACATTCACTTCTCACCCAGTGACCCAAATTTAGTCTTTAGATATAATATAATTCCTAACTATAAATGTATTCTTACCCTCTTGAATATGGGATTGGAGTAGGGGGTGAATGAATGGTAAAGGGTGGTGGGCAAGTTTGGAACGTTGGTGGTGCTGTGTATGAGGAAAAGAGGGTTACACAGAAAGGAAGGTAATGAGTCTGTTGGGTCAGTGTTTCTAGCAGTTATTTTCTGTTAATGGCACTTGACTAGAGAAGCACTATTGTGTTTTTTTTTTTTTTTTAGGGTTATGCTAACAGCAAAGCTGTCACACTAGAGGCCTCATTTACTCCAGATTCCCAGTTTATTATGATTGGTAAGTGTCCTTTAACCCCTTAGGGGTTATTTTTCTTGTATTGAGATTTTGTTTACATTATTTTTGTTAGTTTTAACTAAGATATTATTTATTATCCTTTTGTTAGATGTTCTCAAATTTCTATGTAGCACAATATTTCAAAGGTATAGTGTCTTTAAACTATTGTGACTTAGCAGGTCTTTTTACTGGGAACTTGCATTAATGTTGGTCTTCCCTGGACTAACATTAAACTCTACAAGCACTATTTTACCAGTAATGATAACTTTCTGATATAATCCTGCTTTTAGTCATCTTTTTTTTTTTTATCCTTACCCGAGGACATTTTTGCACCTATCTTCAGATAGAGAGGGAGGGAAAGAGGGGGGAACAGAGAGAGAAACATCGATGTGAGAGAAAAATCAATGTGAGAGAGACACATCGAGTGGTTGCCACCCACACGACCCCAACTAGGGCCGGGGACAAACTGCAACTGAGGTACGTGCCCCTAGCGGACACTGAACCTGGGACTCTCTGGTCTGCAGGCCGATGCTCTAACCGCTGAGCCAAACCGGCCAGGGCTCAGTCATCTTAATGGCTAGATGTTGGTAGGGTAATGATATTCAGCACCCCTCCCCCTCTTTTTTTGTTAATCCTCACTGGAGGATATATTTTTCCTTTTTTATAAAGATAGAGCGGAAGGGAGGGAGGGAGAAACTTCAGTATAAGAGGGACACATCAATTGGTTACTTCTCGCATGACCTTGACTGGGGCCAGGGATCGAACCTGCAACCCAGGTACGTACCCTGGACTGGGAATTGAACCCACAACCCTTTGGTCTATGGGCTGATGCTCTGACTTCAGAGCTAATTCGGCTAGGGCTTAGCCCCCATTTTTAATGAGAAAACTGAAGTTAGAGGGGAAGTGACTTGCCCAGGAACAAATACCTAGGTTCAGTATCAGTTTCCAGAGTGTCCTTTCTTCACTGCCTCTCCTCCCTCTCAATTTCTGCTGAGGGCTGGGTCCTGAAACATGACCTCTTTCCAGATGTCAATCTGTGTCTCTTTCCTATTTGTCTTTGTATTGTGTCTTGAGCTGTTGTGTATTCATTGATCATTCTCTTCAGGTTCAGAGGATGGCAAGATCCATGTCTGGAATGGAGAGAGCGGTATAAAAGTAGCTGTGTTGGATGGCAAACATACAGGCCCCATTACCTGTTTGCAGTTCAATCCCAAGTTCATGACCTTTGCCAGTGCATGTTCCAACATGGTATGTGATCAATAGGAGATGTCCTTCATTTGGGTCATGGGTGTTTCAATGAGCACAGCAAGCTACCTTCTAGTATATGTGCTGCCCAAGCAAGCACAGCAAGCTGTGTTCCAAATAGGTACATTACAAGTACCTCTGTTTCTCAGCTGGTTGCTTCCTTTTTTCACCTCTTATTCTCTGATCTTTGGTTGGGCTGGCCTTTCACTTTTATTCTTCTTTCTGTGATCTGAGATGACCTGTGAGCTCCTGGGAGATCTTAGGCCAGTTTTAGTTCTTGCGCCTGGTTTATGCCCAAACTACCTGGGCTACGCTTGACAGCTATTTGGCTTCTTAAAATACTTTGAAGAAGCCTTTTGTGGCTGCAACCTTTAAGTTCCATTTCTCTCAGTTTATGCTGTATTCCTCAGAAATTCTTACAGTTGATCATAACTCACCACTTAGAATTTTCTCCAGGCACTGTCTCTTCCTAGATAACACTGGTAGAACAAAGTGTCATGAGTCTCAGCCACCAGTTTCCTCTTGGCATCTTCTAAACCTACCTGGGTATTTGGGGATGAGGCACTTCACTACTAGTCTACCCAGAACACATCTTTACCCTGCCCCAAGAAAACAGTGTCAGAAAAAAGTGCAGCAAAACCATCTAGTCCAATCCCTCTCATCTTTTACAGATCAGGAAGGTGAGGGCCTTTCTGAGGTCACCTGGTATATTAGCGTGAAGCCAGGTTACCCAGAGCCCTACCTCCTGGACAGCACTCCTTTCTTTCCTTACCACTGGGCCATTGTGGTGGGAGGTAGACAGTGTTGGAGGGAAGCAGAACCAGCTTGTGTTCACATAAAGTGGAATGTTTCTACATAGATTGCTAGAGTCGGTTGGGAGGGAGGGCCACCAGCCATTACTCCTCCACCACTGGGGCTGGGCAGCTTGATGCTGTGGGAAGGGGTAAGAACCTTAAGCAGATAAAAGAGACGTGGCTTTTAATATTGACTTATGTTCTTTTTCTAGGCCTTCTGGTTGCCCACCATTGATGACTGACCCTGATGCTCTTTGGCTGTTTCTGCACAGTGAAGGTGGTCAGCAGGAAAAAACTCAGAGGGGACTGAGATAATAGTGGGATTGGATCATTTGACTGGGCTGGAGAGCATTCTTCCACATGGCCTTCCCACGGATGTGCTGTACATCTGCTCAAAAGAAAAAAAGTTACTTTGCCAAGCTTCTTCAAAAGGACTCTTGGTGCGGCAGATTCATTTGGGACTCAGATTTTCTAACTGTCAACTGCACCGAGCTCCTCCAGAGGAGTGACCAGACTCATGATTAGGGTATAGCAGGGCCCTTAAGGCACCTTCAGTTTTGAATGTATTTGCTGCTGAGGAGCCAGTGAAGTTATTAATTCTGCACATCCCTTCTCCTACCCCCATAAATGCATGGGAAGCCACAGATCTGGTTTTGAGATGCTAGAGCAGCTCAGTGCCCCTTGCCCTCCCTCTGCATGTCTTATTACTGGGTCTCCCTGTGTCATTGTGGTATAATCCACAACCATCATGTTACTTAGGTGCCAAACATTTACAGAAATAAGTCTTCATATGTCTTGGGGTCAGAAAGGGACAGATACCGACCTTGCTTGCCAGGAAGCTTTACAAGTTAGTCATTTGAGGGTGGGTGATCTAGACATGCCTCAGACTCTGGGTTTTGAGTGGGAAAAGGCCCAAGAGCCTGAAAGGGAGGAAAGGGTAGCAGGTGAGATCCTAGGGCTGGGAGGTTTAGCAGTAGCCTCATGTGGTAGTGTGGTCCCTCGTCATCAAGACAAACCCGCGGTCCTCCTGGTTGCCTACCCAGTATGGTTGTGTACAAAAGCAAGGTGGGAGTCTATTTTTGTACATGAGATACATCACACTTTCCTGTGGGCCAGTATTGTGGAGTGAGTCTGAGTTGTTTACACTGATGCCTTCCCTGCCCACCACAAATTGTGTACATAGTCTTCAGATACCAACCACCCTTTCCCAGCTCTCAACCATGAGCTGGCTCTAGGCCTGTGTTATATGTTATATTTAGCCTTTTTATATATGACCTGGGGTTTCTGTTGTTTGTATTTTAGCACAGTGTGTACACCTTCATTTAAATATATATATATAGGCATACATATATGTATATATGTATGTATGCATATATATAAAATACCTATCGTTCCTGAGTTTAGCCGAAGGACATGGAGTCCTGCAGCCTGGGGGAAGACTGCATCCTTGCTAATAGTGTTTGCTATGAGTGTTAGTGAGTCTTCCTTACTACATTTTCCCTTCAGGAGACTGAATGGAGCAAAGCTTCAAGTGTTTGCTATTCCCGTGGCAGCTAATTGAGGGTCTTGGGATGATGGCTCCTTTGTGTTCCTCAAGCCGTGTTTTGGGGCCCTCTCTGCAGTATTAGCCCCCTTTTTTGCCTGGTGATGCTCTGTCTGCACCTATATATGTGTGACAGTCACTTTTGCATGCCTTTTGTGTCTGGCTTACAGTATTTGGGGACAGGATGCTGGAACCACGGCGTTTTCAGTTTGTCTGAGGCTTTATCAATTACAGGTCACTCCTGTTTACCTGTTATGTCTGCTTTCTTGTTCTTTTCCTTGCCTTCTCTTGGGAGAGGGAGGGGTCTGATCAGGGTTGAGGTAAACTGCAGCTGGCTTATGGCCTTTTCCTCCCCTGTATGGCCTTCTTAGAGAAAGATGAATGGAATGTTATTTTACTAAATTCCCAAACATTTAAGCAGGGAACATACTCCCTGCATATCCAGAAACAGACTCAACAAGGTAATGATTTGTCCCAGAGGACTTGCCCAAGAGTGCACATCTGCTAGGGGGAAAGCAAGCCATTACTGCCTCTGTTAAGCTGCAGGAATAGGCTATGGAGTGTAAGCAATTACTGTTTTAGCAATTACATTTAGATCTTGTTTCTCAAACTTAAAGGTCAAGGTGCATTCATCTTTCCCAACATAGACTAGAACCTTCAGCTTCTGTGATACCCCCTGTATATAGCTCTGCCATTTCAGAGTGAAGGGACTGTTAGAAACCATATGAACTGAGCTGTTACTGCCCACTCCTGGCTTTCCAGGGTAGAAAATTCATGGTAGGAATAACTTCAGAGAAAGTGCTTGGAACAGAGTTAAGAAAACCTGCATAATCTAACCAGAACAGCTGCCAAGCATGACTTGCCTGTCATCAGGAAAATGATTTGTATTGAGTTCCTGTATGTCCAAAGCTGAGGTACCAAGTCCTTTGAAAATAGGTACTGCATGACCCCTGTTTATGGGGACTTGTGGCTGCAGAGCTGGCTCCTGAGTGGGAAGGAAAGGAAAAACATGCAGCTTAAAGTGACTGGAGATTTGGGAATAAGGCAGAATAAAGGGAGAAAAAAGACTGTGGCCAGAGAGGCTGAGGGCTGGGGCTGTAAGGATGCTCATTGGGACCCAGAGGTGCTGAAGTTCTCTGGGGAGGGGCTGCTCACCACTCAAGTCTGGGCCAAAGCCACCAATTTGTATGTGACAGTAACAGTGCACTGCTCAGCCTCCAGCCAGTGGGTTATTTTATTTTTTTAAAGAAGAAACGGATCCCTGTTGCAATAATAATTAATGCCTATTAAAATTTGAGAATTTAAAAAAGAATCAGTTTGCCACCCAAATGCTACCACTGTTAATCTTTCGGTGTTAAATGTTCTTCTAGACATACCTGTGTGTAGATTTCTGGTGTGTTTACATAGTTGTTATTCTGTATATACAATTTTATGTCCCTTTTGTACTTAACATAAACATTTTTTCATGTTATCTGTCTTAAACAGAATTTTATGGCTGCAGCCTCTTCCATTGAGTTTTTGTAGCATTGCTTGCTTCCCAGAGTTGGAGGGAAAGATGGGTTGTCTCCTGGCTCACACTGGGACTCGCTGTGGATGGATTATTGGACTTCACCTGACTGTACCTGGTTATAAAGGCTTATGGGCTGGTGGGAGGAACCCCTAGACCCAGCCCTCAAGTGCACAGCACTGTGGTTCTCAACCCCAGCCTCTAATAAGCAACCATACAGCCAGAAATAAGTGAGTGGGAAAGGCTGGCCTGAGCCGATCTATCTTCAAAGACTGCGTCTGGCACGTACCTCAGGCCACCTTTCATCCCCACTATTGCCTCAGCCCTTGATCAGATCGGCAGCCTCAAGCTGGAATAAGGTTCACCTTGCTAGGCCCTGGCTTCTGGGGGGCAAGGATAGTGGAGCCTCTCTGAGGCACCTATGCCAGATTGCTTGGTAACCCATTCCCCTAGTTTGTGAGTTGTTAACTCCTAGATCCTGTGTCTATCCTTGGAGCTGCAAGGACCCGCTGTCTGCCTCATTCCTGGCACTCTGAGCCACAGAAGAATTTTGGGCCCATTGCTCTGCCCATGGTCTTTGGAGGTTGGCCAAGGGCTCTGAAGGGCAGCAGAGGGAACATCCCAGCTTCTGAGTGATAGGCCATGTTCTGGCAAATTGCTTATGGAGGAAGAGACCTCAACCCGGTGGGAGGGCTGCGGCAGCCTTCGGCTGAGACGGGAATACACAGGTCAGTGTAGCTGCTCCTGCCACAGTCACTCCTGTCGGTTGGCTTGCTTACAGTTGAGAGACCCACTGTACCCACTCCCTGGGCTTCAGCCTTTGATGTGAGGAGCAAGAGCAAGCAGTGGGCTGGGTTGGAAGCAGCAAGTGCGCTCTGGGGATGAGCTGGCTCAGCTGTTGTGGGTGAGAGGCAGGTACAGGATGCTGCCCACGCTTTTGGGGGGGGGCGGGTAGTGGTGTGGAGGCTGCTGAGGAAAGAGGAAGTAAAACTCCTGCAGGCTATTCGGGCACACTCCTGCACTTGCCAGCTGCCTAACTAGAGGGATACTGGAGAGGCTGCCCAGGGCTGCTGGGGCCAACCAGGTTGTCAGGACCCAGCTGTGGACAGATGTAGGTCCAGAAGTGCTGGGCTGTAGAATATGGCCGAAAAACGAGCGATTTTGTAGTTTTTCCTATCTCTTCCCTAAAGAACATATAGGAAATGTAGTCTAAAATGAGTTAATGGGCAGGAAAGGGGGTCTGAGAGCCTCCTCAATGAGTTAGTAAATACATGATTTTACTGTTAATTCTGGGGCCTATTGGCCCTTGTCCTTCCTAGCTGCTGTCTAGGGCTGTGAGTTGCCTGGTAAGAACTCACCTCAACTGTAAACTAAAGTAGTGGATCAGGGAAGAGGTTCATGAAGGTGACTGCCTTGTAAGTGAACAAATACTTTCCCAGCACCTGAGTCTTGGTAAGTACTAGATGGTAAAATAGTGGTGGGGAAGGTGAGGAACTAATCTGCTCATCAAAATGCAAGCCCTGGAGTTTGCATTAAAAAACAAGTTAAAGGGCAGCTCTTCAGGTACCGCAAGCCCAGAGCTCACAGATGGTGGTGGAGACCTCCTTTCTGTTCCCTAGGCAACAGTCCTCTCACTGGGGCTCACCTCAAGTTGGGGACTAGGAGGGCCACAGAGAAAAAACAAAACAGTGCTGACTCTATGCAAGCTTGCAAGGTAGAGCTAAGACTGATCTTTTGGAAGGTAAAGGAGTGAAAGGTATATCGTTAATACCAAGCTATACGTACAGCAATTCACTATTCACAAGGGCTTTTCTGCACACAAACATTTAATCATAGGGAGATGATGGGGAGCAACAAAACAAGGGCATTATCGGGGCATCAACCTAGGGCAGGGCTGCGGCCTGGAAGGAGCAATCCGGATGCAAGGTCAGAGGCAGGAGCAGTAATTGGAGGCAATTCCCCACTCAGCCAACGGGCTCCTTGCCCCTTTCGGTTCTCCAACTTTAGCCCCAGGGCCTGCTTCAGGACGGCTGTTCAGCAGATAGGAGGCTGCCCACAACTTCCCATAAGGCTCCCTGCATGGGCTTTGGGGGTTAAGTAGATACCCTGACATTCATGGATTGGAGACTTGGATCCAAACACAGGCTATCTGGCCCTCCTGGCATCTCTGGTCAATTCCCTTAGTCGAGCTGGGAATAACATATTGGGCTGTGAAGGATCCCATCTGAAGAGCCTCCTGTGGGTGTCCTAAGTTGTAAAATGCCTGCCACAGGAATGTTGACATTAGCACTCTTTCCCTGCCTGCCAAAGGGGGGACTTGCGGAGCTGGGTTCTTTGGTCTTCAGCTCTGACTTTGGGGTATAAATAAATGCTTCCCTTGAAATGGGCTGGGGTGGGGGGCAAGAGCCCTGGGCTATCTGGGGGCAGGCTTGCTGTAGACCACAAGTGGAGGGATGCCCAGACTGCACATGGCCCCAAGTGGTTCTGGAATGCGGTGTCTGAATCCTCAGTGGCCACTGCTCCCTTGGCCCTGGCTGTGCAAGGGAATCACGAACACTGAGACATCGTCGTAGGACACTTGCCCTTCCCCTGTGGGACCGTCGTCCTTCCCCTGTGTGCTGTGTATCAGCATTTGCGCCAGCTCCGAGAACCTGTGGGGACCATCCTGCTGATGTACTCTGGGGCCAGAGCAAAGAGGTAAGCCCAGCCCTCGGGGAGAACTTGCTGCACCGGGCTAGACACTTGGAGACCCAAGCAATGCAGTCCAACTGTGGGGCCTGGCAATCCCAAGCCTGGAAGGGCCACAGACTGGACCACCTGAGTCTGGACCCAGAGATTGAGGGGACTCAGTCATCCCACCCCCTGGAATCTTGAGACCACACTAGTCCTGATCACCCACCCTGAGCCGGGCTCATTGTCAGTGCTGTCTTCTCAGCCGTAACTACTACTTGGTGTTGCTGCTGGCACCCAGGCCAGGTTCCCAGCAGTTATAGTACCTGTGTGGGTCCTCTTGATTGCCAGAGAGGAAGCTTCGCACTAGCCGTGCCACCTGCTCATTGGACAGGACATCCCAGAGCCCATCAGTTGCCATGACAACAACATCCTCCTCCTGCAGCTCCAACTGGTCCACATCCAGCACTGTCACCTGCAAGTTAAGCCTGAGGATCCCTCAGCGTTCCCTTCCTAGTTCCCACCAACCTCACTGTCTGCTTTTCCAGGCAGATGGAAGCTGGAGTGGGCTGTTGCCCTCTCACCTGTGGGACAGAGAGCAAGAAGGGCTTGAGCTGAATGTTTGTGTCCAGTACTCTGAGCTGATGGTCTCCCAGGCCGCGAGACACAGCCAGTGTTCCCAGTAACCGAGCCTGGGGGACAAGTGAGATATGAGGTGACAGCAAACAGCTCCAGCAAATGCACAAGTAAAGCATACAGGTGGACTGTGGCCCTCGGGCACCCTGGGCTGAAGGAGAAACATCCTGTGTCCTTGGAGCAGGTCCCAAGACACCAGCCACAGCCATAAAGCACAAAGGAACTCCTACCTCTGCAGGGGGCAACTGAAGAGGGATTCTTGGAGGGGGCTGTTCACTGACCTGCCTACCCTGTCCGTGGATCAGTGGGTACTTGAGATCCGACTTCTCCACGCACTTGTAGCTCCTACCAGAAGCAGACCCAGCATCAACCCAGGCCCTACTTTCCACCTCATCTCCCCTCAACGCAGGGCCCACCCTGCCCAGGTGGAAGGGAACTGCCCCATGTCACACAGCTGGGCTTGGACCCCATGGTTTTCCCCACTGTGTCCCCCACCCCCACCTTGCTCACCAGCCACTCATGTGGTGATCCCTGAACAAAACCTTCTGCCCCAAGTCATCCCCCTTCAGTCGCCGAGGGAACTCTAGTCGGGTGAACTCACCAGCCAGAAGCTCAGGGTAGACAAAGGCCTGGGGTAGGGAGACCATGCTCAGATCAGACTCTCTCTGGTGGCCCTGCACCCAGGAATGGGGGCTCCACAGCCTCCCACTGCCAAGGGTACCTACCAGCTGCTGGATTCGTTGTCGCTCAGTCTCCGGGGTGAACTCAGAGCTCAGAGGCCGTACCTCATCTCTTCTCACCAAGATGGCCCTGGATGGGATTGGGGAGGAGAGGGAGCAGTGGCGAAGCCTCCAACCTCACCCACAGTCTCCCTCCTGCTGGCCCCTCCTCCAACCCCCAAGGGCCAGCTCTGCCCATGCCAATCCCTGTTCAAAGGCTCAGCCCCTTCGACCTGTGCCCTCCCTGGCATCTGCGGTCCACTTATACTCTATACACTCCAGGTATACAAATATCTCAGCTAGTGAAGCCTCCCCATTTCTATCCCTCCACTTCCAGCCCCCTTCCACTGTCCCCACTGCCTCTGGTGCCTGCCCACCCACCTGCCCCACTCTCCAGAGCTCACTCACCTGCTATCTCCGGCATTGGCCACATACAGCTTCCCCTGTAGGGACACAGCCACCAGGGCTGTGCAGCCACCCACTTGGCCTGAGGCCTCCAGCTCCCGCCCGATCATCTCATCCTGGGGCAAACAGAGGCCACTGTAGCTGCTGCTTATAATGCCACCACATCACTCTGTCCCCAATGCTCACCCTGCATGCAGTTCACTTCCCCACCAACAAGCCTGGCAATCCCAGCCCAAAGTCTAGCTATGACTCCAGGATCCCTGTGGTCAGATCTGGACTTGGGAGGGAGGGAAGGGAAACTAGCCCCTGCACCAAGGACCAACAGGGTGTGCAAGGAGTCGATGCAGGTAAAAGCACATAGCACATAGTAGGCACTGGATAAATGGGAGGGGTAATGAAGACAATGATGGCTGTTAGTAAAGAACAAACCAACCCAATCTTGTCTTCCCAATTAAAACATCAAGGGTGATCACCAAAACCCAGAGTCCCCTAGGTTCCTGGGAACAAAACCTTTACTCTTTCCCTAGTCAAAAACCACTTAACTTACACATTCCTGGAAAGCGCTCTCCAGAGCTCCGATCACCAAGTCTTCTGTCCTAATGCCCTTTTCCTCCACAAACTGGGGATCACTGGGGCAGACACAGTGGCCACTGAGGTGCATGGGGGGCTGAGTGGCCACCATGCCCTCTACTATGGTCTCCAGCTGCCGGCGCAGGCAGGAGTGCAGGGTGTTGGCAGCCAGGATGGCTGCTGCTGGACCGCCGTGCCCATCAAACAGTGCCCAGTAATGACCTGTCAGCAACTACACCGAAAAAGACTGGTGTCAGGTTCTTCCTGGCTTCCCCAATTGATCCCTGGCCCAGCATGGGGCACCAGGGCAAGAACTTCAGCCTGAAGTCTTAGCCCCAGTCCTGGCTCCAGCCTGTAAGGGGATCGACCCTTACACTCACCTCCTCTGGGCACACGGTCAGCCACTCCTGGTCCTCTTCAGCCCCGAACTCACATCTCCGGATGCACAGCTTCCCACAGGCAGCCTGATCCTCATTGAACTCAGATTTCTCTGCATTGATGATCCTGAGGCCAGGAAGTAATCAGTGACCCTTCAGGGATGCACCCATGTCCCTATGGGCACAGAGACTAGAGCTGTGCACAGAGGGAGGAGCCCTCCTTCTGGGGCAACAGCCCCCACGCTGTCCCTTATACCTGAACAAAGATGGTGTAAGTTTCCTAACTGTTCAGTGACCTGGCTAAGGCAAAACTCAGGGCCCAGTCCCTGGAGCCTGCCTGCTGACCTGGGCTGGGAGGTAAGGGTGGGTCTGCCTGGGGAGATCTGGGGCTTTCCTTGCCTCCCCTCCCCCCATCTCAGCGAGAATCCCTGTCTCATACTGCACAGGCTACAACCCAGGACGACAGAACAGTGGTGGTGGTGGTGGTGTGTGTGTATTGGGGGTGCAAGGGGAGGGGACCTCCAAAGCCCAGAATGTTGGCACTCTACCCAGTGTCCCTGTCTCAGGTTGGAAGCTCCAGGGGTGCAGGTCCTTCCCAACTTGCAAGCCCCTGTGAGGGAGACTGGAGTCCCAAAGAAAATGCAGAGACGGGATAGGGGAAGAGTGTCGAATCCAGCGGTGAGGACAAGAAGGAGTTATCCACAAAGTTGGGGGAGTGGGGTCCCTCACTCAATGTAGCCCGTGTCCTAGCCCAGCACAGGCCCCCAGGCTGGCTCGGCGGGGGCCCGGGGCCAGGGTCGCCGGGGTGGGACACTCACTCTGCGTAGCCTGCGTTCCAGGGCAGAACGCGGCCCCGCGCGGGGCAGCGCACGGGCCGGGCGTCCGGGCGGCGCGGGGCGTCGGCGGTGCCGGAGCAGGAGCCCGAGCCGCGCAGGAAGCGGGGCCGCCGGTAGGGCACGGGGCTGGCGCGCGGCCGCGGGGACCGCGGGGACCGCGGCGCGGGGAGCGGACCTCCGGGCAGGAAGCGGCGCCGGAACCAGCCGGAGGACATGGCGCGGCGGCCGGGGCTACCCGCGGAGCCTGGAGGGAGGGCCGGGCCGGACGCTGCCGGCCGCCGCGCCCGGAGGAGGAAGCGGGCCGGGGGCGGGGCGGGCCGGGGCGGGGACTCCCCCAAACCGCTGCCTCCCGGCGGAGCCTGTTCCCGCCTGGCGCCGTCGGGTGTGTCAAGCCCCAGAAGCACCCGAAGAGGCATCCGCTGTTACCAAGCGCGCTGCAGGCCAGAAGGTTGTGGCCCAGGGAGGGAAGTCGCTTGCCCCGTGTCACAGTAACCTGAGCAGGCTAATTTCCTCACCCACACGCGTGGGCACCGGCCTGGGAGAGGGAAACGTCCCTCCTCCCGCTGAAGGAGCTAGTGGGGTTCAGAGCGCACCCTGGGCCCCCGGGCTGGGTCAGTGCGTGCAGAGCTTAGGCCTCCTCCTGGGCTTGGACCTCCCACCAGGGTAAGCCGGGAGCAGGCTGCGCCTGGAGGTGTGGGACTCACGCAGTCGCAGAGCAGTGTTCCCTCGGGTGGGCTCCATTCCTCACCCTGCCAGCCTCGCACCCTCCACCTCCGGGCGGCTTTACTCATCCTGAGACACCGGTCCACCCGCAGGCCGGTCTCCCAGTGACAGCCCCTCCAATATCTCCTCTCTGGACAGAGCAGACTCCTCAGTAGAGTGTGCCTGACGGACGACAGGAATCCATGGTGCCCAAAAAGCTCCAGCTGGTCAGAGTTCAGACCTGGGACTAAAAAAAGTGAAAGGCTTTCCTCCGGGCTGGAGGCAGATGTTGCGATCTCTGAGCTCCTGGCTAGCTGCCACTGTAGGGTCAGTGACAGTGTCCCCTTCACATCCCAAGGTTAACAGAGTGCTTTGTCACCGTCTGTCACTCAAGCCCAACTCCCCTGTGCAGGGCTGTTATTTCCATCTCATAAGGGGACTGTGAGGGGAAGTATTCTGCCGGCCAGTGCTGTGCTGTGCTGTGCTGTTTGCATTATGACAGTGCAGCTGACTCAAAACCCACTTTCCAGGGGATTCCTCTTCCCCTTTCCACCTGCAGAAGGCCCCGAGGCCCGCAGCCCCGGGCCCCCAGGGAGGGCTGCAGGAGGAATCCCTACCTTCACCTCTGCTCCTAAACCCAGCACCTGCTCGCTAGGCCTTACTTCCTCTGTGCTGGCCAGCCCTGCCCCATTGGGAGTTCCCCTTTCCCCAAAAAGGAAGATTCTTGGGGCAGAGAGCTGTCAACACCTCCTCCCCCAGATGGCTCAGGTCCAGGGAGTCTGGGGGCTAATTTACAACCCTCTGTGTGTGCCAGGCCTCATAGCACGAATGGACATGAGCTCCCCTGCAGTGATGATGGCAGTCCTGGTGGATGGGGCTTGCTCCAGCTGGCAGAGCGGTGGAGGCCAAGTCAGAGAAAGGACATCTGAGCTCTGACCTGTCATTGGACAGAACGGGACCAGGGTAGAGCAGACCTAATTCAGTCTGCAGGGTTACCTCATCCCCACCAGCCAATGGTTAAGAGGCTTTTAAAGTCTAAAAGTAGAGGAAATAACAAAAGCACAGTCTATTCCCCTAACCTACTGTCATGGACTCCCCTTGGTGGGATGGGATGAAGGCCCTATTCTTTGTTCTTGTTAATCCTCACCAGAGGATGTTTGTCCATTGATTTTCCACACAGCGTGGGAGGGAGATTAAGAGGGAGTGGGGGGTGGGGGGGGAGAAACACTGATGTGAGAGAGACACATTGATTGGCTGCCTTCCGAATGATTGGCTGCCTTTTGCATGATGCCAACCCAGGTACATGCCCTTGACCGGGAATCAAACCCAAGACCCTTTGGTCCGCAGGTCAGTGCTCTAACTACTGAGCCAAACCAGCCAGGGCAGAAGGTCCTGTTCTTTAAGGTATATTCAGAGAAGCTTCTAACAGCCAGATGTCACAGGTACTCTGTTGCCCAGCTTAACCATTTTTAAGTTTTCAAAGCAACGTGGAGCCCTATCGCAACCCATTCTCCCTGTTTCAAGGTGTCCTGGGCGTTCCTTCAGTGCCACCCAGCATCCTCTGGATCCCTGGGCTCCTATGAATCTCTATTCTTGCCTGGGTCCCAAGCCTCATTCTCTTGGTTTACTCCCTCATTCTGATAAAGCACATCCTCTAACAACTTTCTAAGAAAGGGTGACTGGAAGATAATTTCCTGGGTCCTTGCAAGTCTGAAAAGTTTGTATTCTGCTTTTGCTTTTGATTGATATTTTGGATCAGTATTCTGACTGCTCTGTTTATTGTTTTTTGCCTGTTGCTGCTGCTGAAATCCAGTGTCCCTCTTATTCCCAGACCTTTGGATTGGCTTGTCTTTGCCTTTTTCTCTCTTCAGCTTTCTGGTTTTCCTGTCTCTGGTGTCTGAAGTTGTAGGTGAGGGGCCTTGGGGGTAGGTCTGCATTCCTGGGCTGGCTCTCCCTGGAGGCCATGCAACTCCTCACTTCCCAGTGACACCCTTCTCTGGACACCCTTCTCCAACTGCTTGAACCAACTCAAGTGCGCCTTCTCCTGGCAGGAGGCCTCTGCTCAGCTAACTCAGCCAGCATGTGACAGATGGAGGGTGCGAAAGGAGCAAGCTTAGAAAAAGGAGAAAAGTTTGTATGCTAGATTTCCCCCCATTCACAATGAAAATAGCGTTGTTGAGTCCCATATCTGTCCTTGACAAAATTTAATTTTTAAATTTAATGTTTTCACATGGCTCAAAATTGAAAAGGTGCAATAGAGTAATTAGCAACACCTTACCTTTTATCCCCATCCCCTGGCCACACAGTTTCTCTCCCTGGAGACATCCAGTACCGCTACTTTCTGTGGATCCTTCCAGAGATGACAGGGGTATTCTGTGAAAATTCAAGCAAAAAAAAAAAAAAAAATTACATATAACACAAGAAAACACATGCTGGTGAAGATGTGGAGAAAAGGGGACTTATGCACTGTTGGTGGGAATGTACATTGGTGCAGCCACCATGAAAAACAGGATGGAGTTTCCTAAAATTTTAAGGGGGTCAGAGTGCTAGCCGAGAGATGGAAAGGGATGGTTGAATTTGGAAGGGCTGGAGAATTGAAATAACTTGACCAAAGTCACATAGTGACTACTTACATTTATATTAATTAAAATGACATGCAATTAAACATTCCACTTTCTCAATGGCATTAGTCACATTATGAGTGCTCAACAGACACATATGGCTACCTTGTTGAACAGGCAGAGTATAGAACGCTTCCATTGTTGCAGAAAGTGCTGTTGGACAGCACTCACTTAGAATCCAGGTCTTCTGGTTACTTTCGTGAAGCACAGGCAGATCCCTACTCAGTTTGGAGTCTCTGGGTGTTTGAGGGCTGAGGTCAGCAACTCTAGATTGTGCTTGACCTGGAGGTGCTCCCCAGCCCTTAAACAAGAGCGGAGTCTGGAGCAGCGCAATTATTCCTGCCCCTTTACTATAATACAGGGTAATGACTGAGAAGTAGGAAGCAGCCGGCACTAATGTGTTCCTGAGAATTTGACCACAGGGCCACTGGGGCTGCATGGAGACTCAGAGGGCCAAGGACGGACCCTCCTCCATATATGGCTTCATGAAGTGTTCAGGGATTTACCCAGCTCGGAAAATACTGGCACACAGCGTGCACATTTCACGGCCGGAACCACCCATTTCTGAATTAGACGTCAGGAAGATAATAAAGTTACTTTTGGTGAGTACATATCACCTGTAGCGAAATAAAATGGGGATTGCAGCAGCTACAGCTCAGTCTTCCATCTCAGAGGTTTATGAACTCGATTCCCACTAGAATCAGTAGCAGGATCTGAGAATGTAACAAAACAGACTCATTTCCCACATTTTTTTTCTCTACTGCTGGAGGTGCTGGTGGTGAAAAAAAAAATTTTTTTTTAAATGAGCACTTGTTTACATTTCCCCTACTAGCTTATGATTTTTGTAACAGTCCTGTTGTTCTGGGATAGTGGTTTCCACCTCCCCTTAGTTCAGAGCCAGGATAGCAAGTCCATGGCACAGGTCCTGGCCCTCTCCCTTGCAGACATCATTAATCAGTCACAGAACTCTTTCCCCCTGACTCCAGACATGGCCTTAGAATCCTTCCCTGACCAGCAGTCCAAGCCAGGGGAGAGAATTGGTCAAAAACCTAGTTGCTATCCTTGGATTAGGGACAGGCATTTTATCTGAAGTGGAGCAAGATAAAATGTAGTTCTCAGAACAGCAAGAGAAAATTGTTCAGAGCTCTCTACTTCTGAAGAAAAGGGGGACATTCTCGCTGTTTTGGGGCTATTAAGGAGGACTGTTTTACTTTAGTCAACCTGGCAGTGGTTAAGGGTGGGAGTAGCATCACAGAGAATAATAGAACCGTCATCATGATGATAAAAATGTTTCTCAGCACTGCCATTAGGCTTCTTTTTGTTCGTCTGACAGATGAGGCCTCGTGATGTCCCTCAGCCAGATTTGTGAGGCACAAGCATGCTGTGTCTCCGATCTGGTTCTGACTCCCTGGGCCATCTTGTAAACTGCTTGGCAGGTGTCCCACTCAAACAGGCAAACTGACTGAGGTGGAGCGAAAGAATTCCGGGACTTGGGGAGACAGAGAACATGCGTTAGTGAATGAATAAGTGAACAGAGCCTGGTAGCCGCTGAAGTGGGTTCCGTGGCTCCAGTCCCCAAGGGTTAATAGAAGTTGTAGGTTAAAAGGGCTTTATGGTCAGTCATGCTTTGGAAATGCTGGGTTAACCAAGGTAAAACAAGCTTCTTTAACGCAGGACTTCTCTGTATGTCAGTGCATGTTGGGATTTTCCAAAAGGGTGATTCAGTATGTCGCATGTTTCATGCTTATTTGATCACAGAGTATTTTTCATTTAAAAAAAAAATCTGTGAAATGTAAAATTAGTATTCTAAGAAACACATTTTGGGAAACATCATGCTGGTCCAAACTCATCGTGCAGGTTATAAGAAATGAGTTCTAAAGAGGTTAGCGTGGCTTTCTCAGGTTTTGTAGGAGGTGGTTATGTTATCAGAGAAAT